CAAAATAATCAATGGCCTTCATGCTTTTTTTACACATTAGTAGTCCTGAATGATTTCATATTAGAAAATATCAGATCAGACCTTTGAAAGTCAGATGAATTCCTACATAGGAAGTTATAGGAACACAAAAGATTCTGACTATTACTATAGGATCCTATAAGAAATACCACACACACCTAGAACAGGAATCCTATCATCTCCTATCGTAGGATCATGTAAGATTGTATAGGATCCTATCGTAAGAATCCTATACGTTCCCACATGTCATAGGAGCCTGTAGGATTTTTTGACCTGGGTAGATATAGAGAAACAAGAAATTTAAAGATATCTGAAGGTATCTATAGAAGCATATAAAAGCACATCTATCTGGAGGAAATCTCAAATATACCAGTTCCTTATCTTGTAAGTCTTGTCCTTGGTATCTCAAAATGACAGAAGTTGTCTAGACATGCTGTTGCTTTTAAGCTGAATAATGCACAAACCATATCATTTATGAAAGAGAGGAGTACATTTGTTTATCTAAAAGATGAATCGATCTCTTTTGTACTACAGTCTGTACTTTCAGAGTCATTTTGTTCCATCACACACCAGTTGGAAACTTTGCAAAACTGTTCATCCTGTCTCTTGATCAAATTAGTTTTTGATATACATTTTATAATTATACGTTATGATCATTAATATGACTTCATTTCTCGTCCCAAATTTCCTCAGCAAAGAAAATAATTCCGAAAAAAGAAAATTATCCGAGAAAAACGTTATTTTCAGACAAGTTATAAGAAAAAATAACATCAGACAACAATCTATGCTTCAAAAAACATAACTACACAGAAGTAAAAGATACTTCAATGAGAAAAGACTGATGGGGTCATATTACAAACTTGCTTAAGCTGCTTACTTAAATCTGTGCTTAAGTTTAAATTTTAACTAAGACATACGTAACTACGTCAACTGAGAAATATGGCTGTGATTATCGTTGATCATCCTCTAAAAAACTATGCTTTTTCTTCTTCGATTTGCAGAGACCTCGGAAACTTGGTTTTTTAGAAGATGATCAACGATATTCACAGCCATATTTCTCAAAGACCAAAAGGGATCTTTTTCTAAAAATTAGATCGGTATCGTGTACAATTCGTGTACTTTAAACTACTATAAAAATAGGAAATGGATCTTCTCTAATTAGTGTAATTGTAGTTCGCGAAGTTGGTGCAATATGAAATAATTTTACAGTGAGCACTCCCTCCTTGAATATATAAAAGATGAATATTTGATGAAAATATAAAATTTGTTCTTTTGTGATTTTAGTCTTTAAGCAGAAAAGTACAAAAATGTCTGCTCTTATCAATGATGTCTATTAAAAAAACGAAATACATATATTGGAACTATATATATGCCAATGTATGTATGTATTCACGATACAATCAAAGCAACCGAAATAAAACAAAATAAAATAAATTAGAATTTCATTGCCGCAGAACGACTGAACAGCAGAGCGGCCAAGCCACCGACATTCATTTTGAAATTTTCCCTTACTTTGTTCGATAAACAGAAAAAATGTTGTCCATGGATGTTCTCTGCTCATCAAAAAGGATAGAATAAAAGCGGCATCTCTCTTTTTAAAGTCAAAGAGCAGGACAGTTGGAAAGATAATACTTGGTTACTCCATAGTCTGAGATACTAACTGAGTAACTATAACCACCTTGAGGATTAGATCAAGAAGTTGAAATAAGGCACTGTGTACGACCTCGAACACTTTTTGTTCCGTTAGAATATTATATTTCTTAAATTAGCTCAATGAACATCAATGCAAATAGAATTTGTTATCTGATTTGAGTTTAAGAATAATGTCGTCGTATTATGCATATTATGTGTTTCATTTATTTCTTTTTTCTTATTTTGGCACATCGACCATACAAAAAGTTATAAAACGTGTGGAATAGAGTGATGTGTCGAGATAAAAAATTTATTCTCGATCAATGAAACACCGCTAAAGGCTAAAAATTTCAAAATATACTCAATTTTAGTAGGGCTAAAAACTGGCGAAATCAGAATTGAGTTTTTAAAAAAAATTGAACAAGCTCTAGAGCATTAGGTCGTCTCTTCGTGCAATGACTCCTAAGCTTAATTAACCAGCAATTGTACATTAAAACTCTATGTATTTCAATGGAGTGTCTCTATTTACCCCAAGCGTACAAGTGAACTGCCACAGATTTTAGTAGAGCTCTTCGCGTTTTGGATCTGGCTCAAACTGATCGGAGATTTTTAAACAATTTTTATGTGAGCGTGTATGTGAATGTATGTGAAAAAATGCTCGGTCTACTGTTGTGTAAAGCACTCTAGCATATAAAAACGGTCCGTTAACGGCCAGTTAATGGCGAATTTCTTTGTGAATAATTAATGGTCTGAATACGTTGAGCAAACGGTCAGTAAACGGTGACCGTTAACTGTCCGTTTTCTGACCCTGGACGTTTTCAGACGATTTTTCGATCGTGAAACGGCCGCACTAAAAACGGCAAGTCAACGGCTTGTTGGAGACTTTTAGAATTTCTATGAGTTCTTTCTCGCAGAACTGATGTTTACATACAAACAAGCACAGAAACTAAAGAAATCTCTATTGGTACAAAATTGATTCCGTGTTCTTCGATAGTTTTAGTTTAGAATACTATCATGGAATACTTTTCCGTTTGTATTCTGACAGAATAAAGCTTATATCAACTAAGAAATTTTTATGCTCCATACTAGACTATTTTCAAAAAAACCTGGTCCCGTTACATTAAAAGTCCTACGGCACTGGAACCACCCAGCACAACCGGGACCGTCCCGCATCTCTAGGTCCCGGTCCCATAGAAAGCCCTCCAGGCCTCTAATCGCTGCGCGACTTCGCAACCCGAGCTCGATCATACTGCGCGTAAAAAAATCATACTTTTGTTTTTATAAATTTACAGTAGAGCCCTAGTAAATAAGTAATGTTAGACTACATGCACATTGTACGTCTTTGTGTTTTAGTTTTCTGGAGGGTGTTTTCATAAAAATTCGTAAGTGCTCGACTTATCTAAGTCTAGACTTAAGTCTCCGTTTGGTACACTTGCCTGTTAATTTTATACGCTTAAATCTGACTTAGGTCTAAACTTAGTTAAGTCGAGCACTTAAGAATTTTATGAAAGACCCTCCTGTGCTTTAGACAAAAAAGAGAAAACTAGGCAGCTATAATAGCACTGGTCAACTTTCTTGTCCTATTTCTTGCAAGATTCTTGTCTCTTGTTATTTCAAACAAGAATCGTCAAATTTGTCTTGATAGATCGATCATCCAAGATTCTTTTTTTAATTTTTTAGTGCTTTTTCATCTTTTCTCGTGCTCAGGACGTCGAAAACGGTGTAATTAATTGCCAATTAAATGCCATTTAATACGCTGTTAATAAGCATTTAAATGGCATTTCATGACTCAGTTCCGACATTGATAGAAGACCCCATTGGGCGACAGGGTGAAATACTCCAATCTATTTTATCAAAATAACCAAAAGATACAAGCATTAATTCGACAAGCATAAAACTCGCTAATACATCGTTTGGTAGCAGCCCACTGATGTCGAGCACATGCCGGTATAGAACCGAATGGGCTTGTGTCGAAACATTGGGAGACTACAAGCAAGGAGCAGATACCTGAAAGAACTCCGAGGGGCATGTGTCCTTGCTTGGCAGTCGAAAAGTTAGTAAGTGTTTATGTGTGCAGAGCTATGGTTATTGTTCGGAAGAGCTAATTTCTGCTTCATAATGATGTTGTGGGACCAACCAGAGGCTGGTGTGATTGTAGAAAAGAAAGAGTTGGAAACCATTGATACCGTAGGACCAGCTGGAAATTGAGACGTCTAGAGGAGGCGCTGGGGAGGTGGCGGGTTGCTTAAACTAAGTTTCTTGTCACTAGAAAATCAGAAATTAAGACAAATATAAAAATTTTTGTTCTTCAACGAAATTTTCGTTCCAGGACTGCTTGACTACTATAAAATGACGGTGGCGCTTGCTGTACTTCTCATGAACTAAAATTCGATACTTCCCCGAATTATCAATTCATGACTCAGTTTCGACATTGATAGAAGACCCCATTGGGCGACAGGGCGAAACACGCCACTCTATTTTATCAAAATAATCAAAAGATACAAGCATAAAACTCGCTAATACATCGTTTGGTAGTAGCCCAAGACAGAGAGAGGTAGAAGCCTCGAATCGACGGCCAAATGATGTTAGGAAGGTTATGCTAGTGTTTGTTGAGCCTTTTGAATCGTTTGGAGGGGTAGTTCAAGACGGTTGAATAATAACTTTAAAAGAACCATGTTTGGATCTGCTGAGTCTGGCTCGTGCATCGCCAGAAAGTCGTCGAATAGATGCAATATATGGCGTATGCCATAATTATTTCTTGCTATCCAACAAATCATAGATGATAATTCGTCGAAAATAGCCGGAGAACTACGTGAACCGAACATCAGTTTTGTATAAAAATAGAAATTCTCGTCCCATTAAACTCCTTGGAAAGGCCACAAGGAAGAATGCACCCGGATTTGTTTAAAGCCGTCCTTTACATCGAGTTCGGTTAAAGAGCTTCCAACACCTAACTCCATAATCTTCTTACGGGCATCATCTAGTGTTACGTAGCTCAAACTAAAATCTTCTTTGGGTATGAGTGTCGTGCAGTGGATTATAATGAGGACTAGACATGTCCACATTAAACGAGGTTTCCCTGAATATTTTCCAAACACCAGCCAGAGTGGATTGATCCGATACACCAACAATGGCGGCATCGTAAAGGGACCAATCAGATAATCGCTAGCCAATTCTTGCTGAAGCAACAAGAAGAATGTGAATGTATGTGAAAAAATGTTCGGGCTACTGCTGTGTCCAATAGCAAGTTTGTCCAATCAAAAACGGCCAAGAAATGGCAAAAAAGGAATGAAAATTTCAAAGAGTGTCTCAAATTACCGCGAAGGACTCTATGTCTCATGAGACATCGACTAAAAATTGTCACTTTGTTCTGACGAATGAACACCTTGACCATGATACCGTCCAGGATCAATTAAATAAATATCCAATTCATAATAACGAGGTTGTTCATCATAAATGGCTGTCAGACGCTCTAGAATAC